CCGGAGCCCCCTTTTCACCCCCTCCCGCTCCCCGAGCCCCGGCAGCACCGAGCGGCTCCCACCTGCGCCTGGACAACACGCGCTCTCCTTCTCCTTCTCCTTCTTCTCCTTCTCTTTCTCCTTTTCCTTCTTCGCCGCCGCCGATTCCCCGCGTTTGCACACCTGCGTTTCGGTGCCGGGGCATTTCAGGCAGAAGGGGCGGGAGCAACATGACGCGCTGACCAGCTCCGGCCAATGAGAGGAGCGTAGGAAGAAAGCCCGGCGCGCTCCGATCGCCGGGCAGCCGGGCGCGGTTCGTTCTCGTTCTCGCCCGGGGCGCTCTGATCGCTGTGCAGGCGAGCAGGGCGCTGTTCGTTCTCGTTCTCGCCCGGCGCTGTTCGTCGTTCTCCTTCTCTCCCGGCGCGGCACGATCGCTGTGCAGGCGAGCAGGGCGCTGTTCGTTCTCGTTCTCGCCCGGCGCTGTTCGTCGTTCTTCTCTCCCGGCGCGGCACGATCGCTGTGCAGGCGAGCAGGGCGCTGTTCGTTCTCGTTCTCGCCCGGCGCTGTTCGTCGTTCTCCTTCTCTCCCGGCGCGGCACGATCGCCGTCCAGTAACTGCATCCTGCAGTCCTCTACTAAACTTTTCTCCTTCAAGAAGAACACGGGCTGGTTTGATGAAAACAATTAAGAGATCCAGGAATTGTTGAGGGAGAACTGCCCACCGAGCACACCTCGCTCAGCCTTCCTGTCATGTAAGAAAAGCCGCCTTTCGTCTCGCACGCAGCAAGCTCCCACAGCAACTCCGTGACATCCAGAACAAGTGGTGGATCAGTCTAGCGGGAAAAATTCAATTATGTGCAGATACGGGTGATCACAGAGGATTCTATGAGGCCCTGAAAACAGCATACGGACCTACCTACCAGGTCCAAAGCCCTCTACTCGGTGAGAGCCACCGGGGGCCGCCGCTCCAAACACTTCACCCTCGGTGCTCGCCAGAGCCCACTCCCAGCACCGCCGACACCCGCGACGCCGAGGTCCACAGGGTCAAGGCAGAGACGAGGTTGTCCCGGGGGCGGGGACGAGGCAGAGGAGAGATTGTCGCCAAGGAGGGCAGGGACGAGGCAGAGGACGCGAAAATGTTGCCGAGGAGGGCAGGGACGAGACAGAGGAGAGACTGTCGCCGAGGAGGGCAGGGATGAGGCAGAGGAGAGATTGTCGCTGAGGAGGGCAGGGTCAAGGCAAACGCGAAAATGTTGCCGAGGAGGGCAGGGACGAGGCAGAGGAGATATTGTCGCTGAGGAACGCAGGAATACGTGG